GAATGGGTTATGTGGATCGACGTCATGCTGATATGGACCGGGCCCTAACCTGGTGGGTATCATTCCGTACAAAGTACGGTTACTATTCTTCTTCTTCGCTAGTTGTCTTTAGATTGAGGGGTAAAGGCTAATCAGATTCATTTTGATTGGGTATCTAGCTAGCTGATCCCACAGGGTTGAAACCAAGGAATGGTGGCTGGGGATTGGGGAAGTGTATCCGAGGTTGATTAAGTTCTGCAGAATACTAGTAGTAGTATAAGTGGTAAGTGAGTAGTAACTGGTGATTGGTGAGTGGCGGGTGTGGTTAGTGGTTAGGATCTGGGGTAGCTGCATTAGTAACATGATGGGGTCAAGCTCGGGCTCGGCCTCTGGCTCGGTGTTTGGCGCTGTTGCTTACTCTATATTGCATTTGGGATTGGGTCTGGACTTCAGCTATTAATAAACTATCCAGTTGACGCTGGGGTGTACCTTGATGGATTAGGAGATGATGGTGGTTCTACGGCTTCATGTTCTAGAGACTGTTTAAGAATGCACATTAAGTTCCGTTCGTATGTGAGATTACTTTTCACTAATGCATGTCCAATCTAACTGGGTATGTCGTATATAGTATGTAGTGTCGGTCTGGGTATTAACTTCACAACTACCGCATGAAATCCTCCAACTCCTTCTTCCGCTTCAGTCGCTCCCGCTCCAGCTTCCGGAACAGCGGGTGATGGCCCACCTTATCCTTCAGCTGCTTGTTCCGGCTCTTGTTGTACTCAATATACGCCATGTCTTCACCGCCGGCCAGGCCGCTGAGCGTCGCCGCACTGCGCTTGACTGCTCCCTTTCGCTGGCCGCCCGAACGTCCTGAGAAGAGATCGTCCGTGACGTGCTCTACCTCAGCAGAGGTCTCGTTCTGTAACATCACCTCCTGCAGCAGCTCACGCCGTTCGCTTGGTGTGGCGTACGCCAGACCCTCCAGGTTTTCTATGCCTTGCAGGTGAGTAATGACCTTGAATGCGTAGCCCTGGTCGACCAGGAAAGCCTGTCGCTTGGAAGAGTAGAACATTTCATCTGTGTCTTTCGACACGAGCGAGTAGAAAAAGGCGTTGAATCCCTCGTCGTTACGACGCTTGGCTCGCAGAATACGACCAAGTCGTTGGGCTTCCTGACGACGGGAACCGTAGTGAGACGAAATCTGGATCAGACAAGTGGCTTCCGGCAGATCGAGCGATGTGTCTCCGATCTTGGAGAGGAAGATGGTGTTGACTTGTTCATTGTGCTGGAAGTTCTCCAAAATGCGCATGCGCTCGTTCTGCGGAGTACCACCGTAGATATAGGCCTTGTTCAATTTGAGTGCATATCGTTGAAGAGCATAGACGTTGTCGGAAAAGACAATGACCTTGTCGCCTCGCTTCTCATGGTAGTCGATCAGGAACTGGCAGGCTTGGAATTTCCGCGGGTTCATGATGTACAGAAGAGCAGCCTTTCGTGACTTCTCTCTCATGTATTCAGAGTAAAATTCAGTCGTCATCGGACACCACACCTCGGCGCACTGAACCTTGGCAATGTGCCCTTGCTCGGCCAGTTCCATCCAGTTGGCTTCGTACAATTTCGGACCAATCAAGAAGTTCAGATCCTTGATCTTGTCATCCTCTCGCAACAGCGTTGCAGTCAATCCCAATTTACTCTGACACGCAATTGCCGACGTGACCTTTCGGAACATCGACGCAGGCACGACGTGCACCTCGTCAAGAATCATCAGACCCCACTCTCGTGACTGGATCCAATCCATCATCTTCTGCGCATCATGCGACCGAGCACGCGTCTGGGACACCATGGAGTAAGTGGATACGATGATACCAGTCGATCGACGGAACTTCTCCTTGTTGTCTGATGTGAACACGGCAATGTCACCGGGGTCAATATTGGACCAGCGCAAGAACTCGTTACGCCATTGCACGACCGACATCGAACTGGTACACAAGACAATTGTTCCCTTTTTGATTGTGCAGCCCGCCGTGATACCCACCAGCGTCTTTCCTGCACCACAAGGCAAGACAATGATTCCACTCTTCGCACGTCCGTTACCGAACATCTTACTCAAACTCTTTTCTTGGTAGCTTCGAATTCTTGCGGCTGGCTTCAAGTCGATATCCAAAGTGGGATTAATCTCATCATTTCGAAAATCATACTCCTCCAGCGCTGGACAGCCCATGGCCTGACAGCGCGCCTTGACGGGTTCGACTGCCTCGTTGGGGATTTCGAAACTGTGCACTTGAACTTCCTCCTCATCGTCATCATCGTCGCGAATCGCCAGCAGGATATCGTCCTCTTTACGAGCTTCGCCTGCGCCGTCTTCCGCCGGCTTCTGCTCCGAGGCCTGCCTAACACCCGCTGCATCCTTTGTACCCGGAATCACCAAGCCGCCCATTTTCGGGGCCGCCTGCTGAATAATGCCCTCCGTGCCTTTCAATCTCTGAGACCCAATAACCTCATCCTGCAGCAGCATCTGCAACATCGCCGGATCGGTACTCTCCACGAAGAAGCGGTTATGTTTCAGCACGACCTTGATCTTTCCGTATGATTTCGTGAAGTCGAGAATGAACGACTTGATGGTATCCGGAAGCGGCGTTTTCGACAATCGATCCAGAAAGTTGATGATATCCTGGGGCAGCAAGCCCACCGAGACAGCCGCATACAAACTATTTCCCGTCAATCGATATTCGTGCAAATGGGTCGGACGCGACAGCGGTTCGGCGATAGTAGTCAAGAAGTCCTGCGCCTGGGGTGCAAGCGGCGAGAAACTCTCCAAAGTAATAGTTCCTTTGAGAGGATCGATCCAGAGCGGGCGGTTCGCATGATCGGGTTTCAACGACAGCGAGGAAAAGTCCTTGTAACCGAAATCGGGGTCCTGTCTCTGTACGGCGGCGCTTTTGGATTCGAGAGAGAACTTCTCCAAGACACCTTGTAAGCAAAAGATGTCAGCATCCAGACCCTATATGCAGGAAACCCCACTTCTACGCTACCTTTCAAGTTATCATCCTTGACTTCTTCCTCGTAGTCTGAGTATTCATCACTACTACCAACATCCGGCACAGGTGTGGGCCGTTTCGATGCTCTACTTGACCGACCGCTATCCGTAGCTTTGCGTTTGATGGGCATTATGTATGTATGTAACCTCTTCCCGGTTCGACCAGAGTCGAAGGGGATCGTCTAATATGGTGAAGAGGATGCGATGCGGGACGGTGAGAGAATGATGTACGCGGGTGCTCTGAAAGGCTACCGGCGCCTGGACGAGCGTGAGAGGAATACGGCAGCTCGATAGCTCCAGGTGTCGTGAACCGAATCGACCAGCTGAAGCAGTGAGGCACAGAAGCTGGTGAAAGCGCGACGAAGATAAACTGAGAGCAAGAAAAAGGCAGGGGAGATGATCAAGAACGAGAAGCATGAGATGAGGCTCGGGAATGACAAATGCACGCCTGAGGCAACAAGGCGAGTGGCGATTCGACAATGCAGCACTGTGATTGGCTGAGTGTCTCCCACTAAAGGGAACCGGCCGGTTTGACGTAGTCTAGTCCTTAGGTAAAGTCCGGAGCTTCTTGCGAGTCCGCGGCTCCGAGTCCACCTCTGTTGAGACAAACCCGTCGAGGCCAGAATAACATTCACAATGAACACGGTATGTTCCAGTTCCTTTATAGCTTTGTCTATAATGTCTCGCTAACAATTGCTTCTTCACTATCTAACAGATTCGATCTACATGGTGAGCGAATCCTACAACGAACACTTGCCTGCTAGGTGTCCACACCACCTGGAATACACACAATACTAACGGAAACTCACCCAACCCAACAGGATAGGCTGGGGCACCCTTTGCGTCGGTAAGAAGCAGTCTATGAACACAAATCAATGTATCCATATCACTAATATTGAAATACAACAGCTGGCGGCGGAGCCTACTACTTTGCTAAGAAATCCATCAACGCCGACCGTCAGACCCGATTCGAAGCGGAAGTGAAGCGCAAGGCGCAGCTGGCTGCGATGGAAGCCGAGCACCGACGCCAGAACGCCCCAAACAATGTCCCGACTCCTAGTCCGACCGAAGATCCGAGCCTGAAGCGCGCCCAGTTAGTGCGTGCCGATGATGTGGGCTCGCCGAGTGCTGAAGCTAGCCATGACCCCGCACCGACTCGTCACGAACCGGAGACTGAAGCTGAGCGGGTGCTGGAGAAGAGTAAATATGAGGCTACGCAGCCTTTCCGGCCTCCGAAGGGAAACCGCTTGTAGGGCTGGTGGGTAGTTAGTTTGCACATATAGTATATGAGATGGAGGCGGCGATGGTAAAACAAGGGGGAGAAGAAGAAAAGGCTATGTTGTGGCATTTTCATGTATCATAGTTTGGTGTTTGGAGCTGCAGGAACTAGGTATAGTATGACCTGCTTAAATGACTTGATCGGCGGGGTTATCCCTGCTAATGTAGGGGCATAGCTACAGTAAGTTGATCCGTAGGTCGGGATGAACACTTGTCTATACAGCAGTGCTTTAAGGAGTAGATGTTGATTTCAGTAATGCTTCGATTGAGATTAAGTAGCCATAAGGTATTGTTCTATAGATGAAGTAGCCACGATCAACCCGGAATGAAAGCCGTGGAGCATCCACCAATCCCACCAAAAGAGAGACGCCCACATTGATGGGTGTAACCGGGCTGGCACCTGTCCAGATCCCTTCCCCAATCATGAGACTTTCTTCAACGGGTAAGGATGCAACTATGCATGTGATAATCCCAACATAGCTAGGAAAAAAGCAAAGCAAGGAACGCCATCGAAACTCCCGCCCGCCTTAAGCAGAGGTATGATATGCATCTCTGCGAAAAAAAGAAAAGCCCCGAGTCATGTCGCGTGAGTCCTTCATACGGAATGTATGTATGTAAGCAATCGCCCAGCTCCCTTACGCCTTGACCGATCAGCAAATGTTGATCCCGAAAGAAATGATTCAGAGCGAAAAGTGAAAAATCGCGCGATATCGAGAAGTTTCCAACGCCCTGAGTGGGTGGTGGTCGTTCGGAAATGAGCCCCGCTAGTAGTGTGGGAGTTATATCCGATCGGATATAGAGGCTACCTCCGCTTAGCGCGCGTGGAAGCATAGAGGTGGGTGCGGCCTATCATGGATTATTAATATCAGGTGTTTGATTATGAATGTTTCGGAGGAGAGAAGATCTTACTTGTTGTGATTGGGGTATCCATTGTTCTTCTCGCGAGAACTCTCAAGAGCTGGAGGTACGAAGGGAAGCACCACGGCTGTGAATAGACAAGAGCTGGTGATGAAGCGGGAAATGCGAGTGTCTGGCCGAGGACGGCGGACGGAAAAGTGGCGGATGGTTGGACGGGCGAGTTGCATGGAGATAGACATGGTGAACAGTGTTTCAGTTGAGGGAACTGGCGTTATGAATATTGCCAGGAAAAGTATTCGATCAGGAGAGTGGGTTGTCCAGTAAAGTAATAAGTAGATCGGAGGAAGCGGCGCCTTTTTCAAGGGGGAAGAAAGTTCAACAGGTAAGCGTTCTTCAGGTCAATGCAGGGACCGAGAGGCAAAGGTTAATACTAATGATAAAAAGGTTGCACAACTGCTGTGCGGCAATACGGACCTACTTATAATAATTATGGTATACGACTCTATCAAGGCTTGTTAGAGGCAAATGGAGGATCAGCCTACACCTCAGCCGAACGGACCGTGTTACCCTGTGGGGGGGTGGTTGTCTTGCGGGGGTTCAAAAAGGCCCACAGGCCCATGATGATGCTAGGCTAGTCCCTCAACTAATGCTGATTGATGATGACACTGACTTTTTGGGCCTTGAGAACCTTGAGGGATAAACGAAAAGCGCGCGGAAAAACGGTCCCGAATCATGTAGCCATCAGCTGGAGATCGGATAGCATGCCAGGCAGTTGTCGATTCTAGTGTCCATGTAGACTAGTCGATGTTCATACACATCACTCCATACCTGTCTCCTGCATTCCTACCACAATGGAGGATGCATGGACCACATGAGTTATGTGGGCACCCACTGATGTACCGTCGCATTGACCGAAAGGGCCTTGATGATCCAGTCTCAACTCTCAACACTGTTGAACTGACTCACAGGAGTGAAGGTGAGAACTCACGCCATCGAGGGGCAGCTGATCGCGATTTCCGGCCGAAGGAAACAGCGGGGCTCAATGACGGACCGGCCAGGCACGCGGGCGGCGATCGCGGTAGTTGGTTAGTACTGTAGACTAGTTGTTGCTCAGGCGCGGTTGGGCATGGCGCGCCAGGCTGCAACTCCCCCAAATACTGTGGTCCCGGCCCGCTGGAGTTTAAGGTCTGGTCACTCGCTTGTCTGATGGCGGGACTTGAGTATCCGGCCTGGCGGTGTGTGGTTTTTGACGTATGAGTGAAGAAGGGACTGGTTGAGTGACTGCGGTTGGTCCATGACAATAGATATCACTATTGGTGTGTACGTACACATGGAGCACAAGCCTAAGGTGATCAGGGGCAGCTAGATAGGTGTCCATCTACCTAGACCATTCCATTGTTACAACGTAGGAGGGGAGATTAAAGGGGAGAGAAACACGAAGCAATCCTGCATCGATCATGCCACTTCCCCCCACGGCGCCTGAGGCCGCCAATCATAACTGACGTCACCGATATGTCCCCGCGAATCATGACTCAGCTATTAGTCAAGCTTGGCTCCCTCCCATTCATAACATTGAATAGCCATGGGTACTCCATCGAACTCTGAAGATAGTACTTCAAAATATTGTGTGGTATTGTAGAAGCTCTGACATGCGGGAAGACGTGTCTATCAACTGTCTGAACAACAACAGATTGGTATTCCTTGTCCCTCGAATAATCACGTTAGTACTGGCATCTTTCATTCTGGTAGATATAAATAGTAATAAGCTTCATGGAAATACTATCCAACACTTGGCTCCACATGTGTGCTGCTCTTAAGTACTCCCCATGCCAGTTGCAGTACTAATCGGGGAGTAGAGCTCTTTTACTCTCCGGTTCCCTCGCCATATCACGCTGCAGCTACTACTAAACTAGTATACTAGTATATGCATGTCCAAATCAGTGGTGGAAGATATAATCCGGGGGTAACGATCTGAGGGGCTCGGGCCTTGATGCTTCTCCATCCACATGTGGATGCCAATATTGCTGAACATATGGAGTGCTCCTAGTAATATAGTTTAGGACAGACACTTTGCGTTCCCTCAGCCGTAATGCTCACTGAGTTGTTACTGAATACTGGTATTATCATGTGACACCAATCTTGATTATCGATGGTTTCTCGGCCATGAACTTCGCACATCTTTGCAGAACCATCCACTCCAACAAATCTGATAGAGAATATTGATTCGAAAATGGGTGAACGATGAGATAAATGTTTTGATTTGCTGACATAGTGCACCCCTTCAGCAGGGGTTTGACAGGTTTTTCTTTTACCATTCACTGTCACCCTCACCGCCTGTGCCATGGCAACAGCTACTAGTTATGGTCTACATAGTAGACTACTACATGTACCTATATGGCATAGGTGACTTGGAAGTTGACTCTCACTATGGAAGGTGGCCCATCAATCACTGATGCCATTGAGAAAGATGATTGCATGAGCTCTCAGAATAAGTACCGATCTGACTATAGCGATGAAAGCGACAGTGAGGTTGGTGTGACTTGGTCTCCCGGTGACGGAGTCTGTCCGTCAACAGCAGAGTTCCATCATTGCTGTCAGTCCAAGTTCGATGAATGGAGCCATGCGACCTCAATGCCTTTGAATCATACACTCTCTTTCTCATTCTACTTAGATGCCTTCTTGAGCCTTCTCAAACATGTCCCCCCGTTTCTATCCGGCCTCCCAGAAGATGTCCATATTACAGGGAGACGGAGAACATTTCTCATGCTTAGATCCTCTCTACAGATACACTCAACAGACAATATAGACTGCGCCCAACCTTACAAGCTGATTGATTATCTTCAATGCCTCGGACCTCCAAAGCCTGCCGTCTACAAGCTGAAGGCTGAGACGCAATTACAGCCCGTACTTCCCATACACACCAAGGCCTTTCGCTCTGGGTATTTCACAAATATCGTCTTAGCTTGGTCCTACATCGTCTCCTGCCGCTGGTCAGAAATTTTCCAACGAGCAGGTTGGAACAGCCAGATGCTCCATGAAAATGGTATGCAGATTGAGGATTCTTTCTGGTATCTTGTCACGCAAGGCTGCTGGCGAGCACTAGTGAAGAAAGACACAGCAAAATTCTGTTCTCCATGGATATTGACGAGTGAGGGGGCTAAGAAAGACTGGTAAATATGCTTCAGCTGATAATGATTGTTATGGACTAACTGGCGTATGAAGCAATTGGGTGCCAGTCACACCGGATTCGTCGCTGGCCTTTGATATTCTTGTGGATTTTTGCATATCGGAAGGCTTGGAAATGGAGTTAATCACAGGCCTTGCGTCTGTTTTATTATTGACCTCACGGAACACACCTTCGCCTATCCTCGCTCCTGCTGTAGCAGCCCCGACTGCTTCTGCTGCCTCCCCACCAAGGGCAAAACACGCGGTATTCTATGAGCTTTACCAGTCAACTGATAAATTTCTCACTTTGAGCTCCACGCAAGACGCCTTGGACTCGTTAATATGCAGTGCCTTTTTTGACCCATCTATTCCCTGTAATTTCATGGGAGCTGCATCTTTGGGTGTGAGGAAAGCCCTCTCAACGGCGGACAAGATGGATAACCAACAGCTCCTTAGAGCCATCACATATACGAACCCGTCTCTATGTCACTTCTGGGGCGCAGCTATTCGTGGAGGTCAAGTAGACTCCTTTCTAAACATGAGTCTGTATACTCTACCGCCTATATGTCTAGTGACCGCCTTTTGGACAGACACCACTCAATCCTTTCTCCAAAGGAGGTATTGCTCAAGTGAAATAGAGAAGAAGGTCGTCACTCGGGCAAACGAGTTTCAAACTTCATTTTACTGCCGGTCGGGCACATCTGTGCCATGGTCACCCGCACCCCCCTTCGGCAAGACAACCGTCGAGAATATCAGTCTTGAGATCCGGCAACACCTTGGACATATGCACAGACCTATCTCATGGTCCACATACTGGGTTTTAAACTCTGGCAAGAGGCTCCCCGCGACTAAACAACGCCATATTCATCAGTCCCAGGTTCAGAGGATCTATCATCCTTCCTCCACAGAGCATCCTAATGAGTAAGCCAGAGAGTGTTCCGGGAACATTTTTATGACTCTATATACTGACCGTTAAGCGTACCCTACATCGAACAAAATGCTGCTGATGAACAGTCAGCGGTTGCAACATCTCGTCTGTTCAATTGGCATAGAAGCTACGATGATGGCATTTGGCTTGATGATGGAACGGGCGACATTGAAACGATTCGTCGACTCCAGCAACATCAATGGATTATCGATCCATTTGCTGGAAGTGAGCTTGATGATCTAGTTGAAGAACCTAAGGATCGCGAGCTCAGCTTTGAGAGTATCTTGCGGTGGATGGATGAAGCTGAGAACCATCGACACTAGTACCCGTAAGTTGCTTCAATGCTGATTTCTCACACGATGTTTCTAGAATCTTGCTAGAGAGAAATGATGGTGCATTAGAGTTTCGTGTATATTCAAGATCCAGCGCGAATATAGGTTCCAAATTCCGTGTTACAAAACACCACAAGTGGCCTGTGAGGCTGAAGGAGCTGGGATCAGTCTCCACGCCGGTGTGAACGAGCACGTGCTACTTATGATTACAATCCTTCGCCAATTACAATACAACATGGTATAACAAGCCCAAGGTCGTGCTATTGTTGGAAATGACCTTACTGCATGAGGCGCAAAACCATTCCCACTCCGTAAATCTCCAGAGGGGTAGATGTCCACCCCCGGCCCCAATCAGGAATAACACATTGGATGCGCTAAACACCAGGGAGATCATGCCCCGCTGGGACTTCGTAGAATTTAGTATTCTATATAGCGTGGGGCAAGTTCTGGTACCAGAGTCTTTCTACCGCAAGTGACAAAGCCTTGCCAGGGGCTTGTGGCTCAGAGACCTAACTAAATAGTGACTAGTGTCCCTTAGCCGTCTGCTGAATGACAGAAGCACCCTTAGGAGCAGACTAGCGACACTTCATTCAGACAGGGGCGATACACTATCAAGCTCTATATCACAGCGTTTTATTAACACGTTGAAAGGAACGATGGAGGATCATAAAAGAAGTAGGTGCTGGGCGCAAAAGGGTTCTCACACATCCTTTACTATTCTTGATGCGATCCTCGATGTTCAGAATATGCTAACCTTGCGGAGAAGGATTCTAAACGATTTCCCGAATCGCATCTTACAGTGGGTCTGGCGAGACCGGCGTGGCGGAGCACCTGATAACCTCACTCTTGCACCGAGTACGTGCAGCGAATGTTAATCCTAGGGCAGTGTAATAGTCTCAGGCACCACAAGTGGAGAGAGACCCTATTCTCACCGGCTGCTAGCTATGCCATGATTTAGCTACTCGGTACGACCTCCGATCTAGGCGTTGCGGCTGAATTTGCTCGAGTATCTTTCATCTACCCCAGCTTTTGGCCCCATGTGCTCAAACACTGGTTCCCCTTGGCTCTTCCAGCCCCCAGGAGATGAGCTCTGCTTCGGTTCCATGCATTGAACTAGGCATAGTGCAATGCTCATCCTTATTTGCAACACTGCCTGGTAATGAGTGCTAAACCTCAATCAGCAGGTGACTACGCCTACTGCTTTTGCATGCTCATGAGCGGATGCAAGATCAACAAAGGTTCCAATGAGCTGATGCTTGCTGAATCTTTACATCACCTATGCTCAATTAAGGCTTTTTCCTGTGAAACCATGACACTACCAAGGCTCTGTGGACTCAGGAGGCACAGTGCTGGCTAGGCAGGTCCATGTGGTTGTCAGCCTCTAATTGTCAGCTGCAAGGTGACACCAATAGTGGATTTCAGCCCCCTATCAAAGCACCGCAGGTAGCATGTTTCTCATAACAACTTAAAATTTACCCTGCACGGTGTTTCACTTTCAGGAGAACCATGCATGGGCTGGCTATTTCAGTACAACGACCGAAGGAAGAAAGATGGATTGAGGTACCCGAAAATAGTGGGCAATGGCCGTGGGGGCGAAATCTACCATCGCCCTCCTCATGCCCCATTCAAACTGCAGGGTCGTGTTGGTTTCTCCGTTGTCCTCGAGGCTTCATTCGCTGACAGTGCTTTGAAACAGTGCCTTGTCTAGAACTGGGCAATTGTACATGGTTCTTTCGTGCCTTGTACGTATCGCCTGCAGCTCCCGTGGGAGCTAACGAGTCCATGGAATGCCATTTACAGGATCTGAATGGAGCGTCACAGTATCTTGTTTATCTGAAGCGTTTAAAATATGAAGCAGACATCCATGGTATACTGTCTGGAAGACATCCCGTTCAACTGCTTGGGCGTTGTCCCGCTACGACTTCATACGGGGATCATCCTCCGGATCGCCCCCAATCTCACTCTAGAATACGAAATCTTTTCTCTCGGTTGGCCTTGGGTCGACTCCGCCCCCCATGAAGGATGTAGCCTCAGGAGCTACTTCAGGAACCTACCTATTGCGGACGGCTTGTCATGTCCTGAGTGGGCAGTGTCAGAGCCTTGGCCGGGCTCTGACCTAGTGTTGCTAATGGCACACGGGAACTGTTGGTTGGGGGCCAATGATCCATCCGACTTAAAAGGATGAGATACATCTCCTAAGCTGGAGCAGATCACAAGAACTCTTTCATTTCATTATCGTCACTCTCTTCGTTTCCCTTCTTGGGACAGTCACTCTTTTTGTCTTCTGCAAAGACAGTCATTCTTTAGATTGCTTCAATCCTATACCTTCATTTCACTTCATACGACCAATACGACCAAAGATCTAGTTCAAGATGGTTTACCCTCTCCACAATGGAGTGGCCACGGGTCTCTTGGCTTCCTTCCTCATCCAACAGGGTCTGGCTTTAGAACTGACCGCATTCAACCCTTCTACAACAACGAACACGCAGGTCAAGGTGGCGGCGGCTGGGGCTGAAGTTCAAACTCAGGACTATTCTAGCATTGATCTGCGAACCAGTCACTCGTTTTACTGGGGTGGTAAGTGTACAACTATTGGCGCTTGACTATACAACGAGAAAGTTAACATCATTGAAATAGCCTCTACCAGTGGCGGGTCCACCTTGGGTAATCTGACTCTTGTGGACGAAAGCATTCTCCCCATGGAGTCTTTCAGCGATATGCTGGAGAACATTCAGTGCACCAACTCGAGTATTACCTTGGGCTTCTCAGACTCAGATGCGTTCACCTATGCAAAGAACTCGTGGACTTGGGTGAACAAGGCCGCCAACAACACATTTCTTATGGTGGCTGGCGTCCAGCAATGTAGCTGGAACACCCAACGTGTTCCTTTCGTCATTACGGCTGCCAACTTTCAAGACAACTCTACAGTACGGTTGGCCGGCAAATCGGCGACCTGGGATGATGTCCTTAGAAACCATGAGATCACCATCGGCAAGGCCCCGAGTGACATGGCAGTCGAGCTCACCAAGCGAGGCATAACTGATGGAACTAAGTCTGGTTCGATCAGTATTGACAAAACCGCGTCCGACAAATCAGTGAAGATCTTCTCGAAAGACGACCTCACCCTCAGCGCTGAATGCAAATCGTGCGGAACTAGTGGTGAATTTGACGTTGAATTCAAGTACAAAGTGAAGCCAAGTGGCAGCGGTTTCCTTAGCGAGATCGGAAACGCATTTACTGGAGATTGGGACGTCGAGACCGCGGAACTTACGCTTACACCAAAGGATGTCGAGCTAGACATCACTCCTGCTCTGGACCTGAGCGGAAACCTGACCAGATCCTACTCGGATGAAGCGCAGATTGCTGCATTGACCCTTGAGGGAATTAAAATCCCAGAAGTCTTCACCCTGGATGTGCAACTTGCTTTCGACATCGGAGCCAGCGCTGGACCCGTCAATGGCGATGCGTCCATCTCCTATCCCATGAAAATCTCGCTTGACAATGATGCCGAGGCAGTTCTCGACATTGCAAATAAGAAGGTCACCCACAAGGACTGGACTCCGACCATCAAGACTGATGGCGTTAAGCTTGATGCCGAAATCGATGCTACTCTTGAGGCCTATGTCAAGGCTTCCCTCGAGTTGGTCCTTTCTGTCGGTAGTACGTACAAAGATTATGAGTATATTAAAGTTGCAACGCTAACCCTCTCTAGAAAAATGGGGATACGAAGCCGGTATCTATCTCAAGCCCTTCCTGGCAGTAGACTTCACTGCCGAAGCATGTGAGTGAACTGACAAGACCTGGTCTATGGTAGCCTCTGCTGACAACATGTAGCCACGAGTGGCACTTGCTCGGACACGTCCAAGAACTACCACTATGCGATCGAAGTGGAGCCTTATGCTGGAATTGAGCTCGGCGCGGAGGTGGCTAAAGTGAGCGACGAGGGTAACCCGATTGCGGATGCTACTCTTGCGGTAAGTCAATCCTAGGCATGAGCCAAGCTGCGCTTGTAGAACCTGACTGACCCCTTCGCAGTCCTTCACCCAGTCCATGTCGTCGACCTGCATTGGCTTCGACAGTATCACTTCGACCAAGACTGCCACTTCCACGAAGACCAAGTCGACTGATGAATCCTCGTCCGACGATGAGACATCTACCAAGTCCAAGTCCAAGTCTAAGTCTAAGTCGTCCACCAAGTCATCCTCCAAGTCGGCCTCCAAGTCGGCTTCCAAGACCAAGTCTCACCCTAACAGCGCATCTGCGTCTGCTACTCCAACCGGCCACTCGTCCACCCACAAGCACACCTCCAGCTCCACCAAGTCTTCGGAAACCAGCAAGTCTACCATCACGTCGTATCCTAAGACCACCTCAGCTAAGGCCACGAGTTCCCACGCAGCTGCCAGTTCGTCTGCTCACAGCGTGCACAACCACGGCCGCAGCTTCAGACAGCATGGCCGTATCTAAGCAGCTTCATGGAAGTTATGAGCTGATGCTGTCTCTGACAGTTTACTTCATGTTATGATTTCAATTCTTGTCTGTGTGTGCGCATGCAGACAAACTGTACTATTTATCATAGATTATTTGATTGGATGTAACGTTGACATTATACGTTCGTGTAATGAGATTAGTTAAAGAGTTATAACGGCTTCACAGCAATTATTCATATAGACTACCTACATATGTTCGGATTTTGACTTTCCATGTGTAGCTCGACGATGTACATGACTTGAGTATAATTTGGGTCCAGCATCCGGCAATTTGCATACTTCGCTGCCAATTTCAGCAATGTGGCCATAATGTAGTATAATCAACTATATTACTAGAACACTTGATCCTATTCACAATAATGGTCCTAGGCTACGTGTTCAGCAGCTGTATAGAGTGCAAGTCAGTTAGTAGGGCGGCCACGATCACGTGCAAAGCCCGGAGCTCCGCCATCTCCGCCTCAGGATCCAGCATATCGGTGCCTCACTTCCCTCTGCTTCACAATCTCACCAAACCTAACAACACGCCCAGCAATGGCATCCCATCAGCTCGCCATTGCCAAGGCCTCCTTCTCTGCAGGGCTCCTACGTCCAGACCCGACGTCTGTCGCGCGCGACGAAATCACAGCCTTTCACACCAGCCTAGACCGGGCGCTATCGCATTGCACCCCGGCAAACATCCAGGTTTGAACCGATGCGTCCTTAACCACTGGCGAATACACCAGAAGTACTAAAATGATTTTCTCTCTTGCGCGCCCCCTAGACCTGCAAACAATGGCTCCTGGAATACGTCGTCTCGTCAGGTAACCGCGTAGGCGGATGGGCCAAATACCTAGCTGCGTTGTCTGGATCATTCGAAACATCATCCACACCATCGCCGGCCGAGAGTGGTGGGAAAAGGTCGACATCGACATCTGGCAAGCGGAAACGCCTCCATATCCTATATTTGCTGAATGATGTGCTGCACCATACGAAATATCACCTGGATACGAGCGCCGCGTTCAGCACTTTGAGCGGATCGCTGCAACCGCATGTGGTCGAGCTGCTGGGCTACGCGGCGTCGTATGATCGCGAGAAGAACCCGAAACATCATCGTCGGTTGGATGAGTTGCTGGATATCTGGGAGGAAAATCGCTATTACGGGAGTGATTATGTGAATAAGCTACGGGAGGTGGTCAAGAATGCTTCGGTGTCCGGTCCGGTCAAGACGTCGCTGAGTGTCGAGGAGAGTAATTTGGATTTCGCGGGAGCTGGTGCGAAACCAATGCCCTCGGGCAAGGATGTCCCGTTCGTCATGCCGGCTACGCATGGTGATCCGTCTATGCCGTACTACGATCTACCTGCGGGAAACCTCGTTCCGCATATTATCCCGGATTCGACGGTGCCGCTGCGACCGGACACAATCAAGCCACTGCAGTTCTTGGCTGGGCCGGCGGACGAGAATCTTGTCGTGGCGCTGAAGAAGTTCATGAAGGACGTGGATCGGATATATGGGACAGGAGAGCCGGAGCATGAAGAGGACGAGGTGGTGGATATCGATGATCTCGGCCAGGTGGTCGTTCGCGATGCCGATGGGGAAGTAATCGAGGGAGAAACATACTACGGATGGTCACGATCATTCTGCCAGCAGATGAAGAAGCGCCAGGCAAAGGGAGACATGAGTCGCAGCCGGAGCCGTAGTCGCAGCCCCGTCAAGCGGCGACGATACAGCGACAGTGCCAGCGACTGGAGTTCGCGTTCACGATCACGAACTCGCTCACCGCAACGCAGATCACGCCGGCGTGATTCCCGATCCCGAACACGGTCTCCGTACCGACCTCGCAGTGCATCCCGGTCCAAGTCGCGGGAGCGATCCAAATCCTATTCTCCGCGTCCGCCTGAATACCATCATCAACAACCACCTCAATACCCACCACTACACAATGCATATGGCAATGCAGCACCACCGCCCCCTCCGGCTCCGGTAGGATATCATGCACCACCACCGCCTCCACCGCAAATGGGGTATCCCCCGGCCGGCGGCGTGCCACCGCATTTCGCTTTCCCGCCGGGAGGACCGGCCCCGCCTCCGCCTCCGCCACCAAACTATCAGGGTGCTTGGCCGCCACCGCCGCCGCCTCCGATGAACCTCGGGGCGGCACCTCCACCACCACCGCATGCTCCGCATCAAGGTTCCCATTTCCCACCGCCATATGGACAGGGTCAGTATGTGCAGCAGATGCCACCGGGGTCGTATCATTTCCCTCCTCCTCATCCAGGAAGTCATCCAGGAAGGGGAGGATGGTACGGTGGAGGAGGGGGAAGAGGACAGGGATGGCGCTGATATCACAAGATTGCTTGTACTATACTGACTGATATAACACTACATTATGCCATATGCCATATATCATTAATGAACGACAAATGACAGTCGATTGATTAACCCTACATACATACAAGTTTATAACATATCACATCCTAATAGTAACGTAACCCATGTACTGTACCAGAACCAATCACAGATAAGAATCCCTAAACCCTACCCTTTCAAACATACACCTCTCCCTTGAGACTTCATCAGTCGCACTAGCTAACACCAGCAGACGCACTCGCAGACGCCGAGGCACTCGCACTCGCAGAAGCAGAAGCCGAAGCCTGCGCCACCAACATACTCTCCCTCTGCTTACTATCATTAATGGCATCATTCTTATCCTTGATCGCATCGTCATACGGCTTGCAAGCCGACGAAACAGGCTGGGATGATCCTTCAGACTGTTGACATTGACATATTAGCATACTTCCCCCACAAAAGAACATAGAAGGGATAAACATACATTCGGCTGCCCGTCACAACACATAACCTGATGTTTACACTGATCATTCGGCGTATCGTCTTGCATACCAGTACCTATACCATCATCACCACCATTAGCCAATTCACACCTTTACACCACCCCATAATCCAAAGAACGGAAATGTAAGAGAAAGAGGAGAGAGAGAGAAATTTGAACATACAATCCAGCCCCAATACCGAACTAACATCAATCCCCCCAATCCAAGGGATCAACATGCCCAAAGGCTGGGTAATCTGCGACGCGATATCATTGATAGATTCACAACATTGTTTTGATCGTTGAGACGGGGGACACGTGGAGTTGTTGGAGTCCGTTAGGGTTTCGTTGACGATGATTTTGGCGATCGCGGCCGAGAGACCTTCTGGTGTATCGAGGGCTGAGGGGGTTGATGAAGTAGATGGGGTGCTGGAGGTGGTGCTGGAGGATGGGGAGAGGGGAACGCAGGTTGTTAGGGGGGTTAGGATTGTTATGGTTATGGTTGCTAGAGTGGTTAGGGTGAGGTGGAGGTGCATTTTGCTGATGGGGACTTCTTTGTGACTTTTGTGTATAGTAATTGTTCTCGGGTTTGGGGGATAGATGTGTTTGTTGTGTGGTTGTATAGTGGAGGTTGAGGGATGTGTATGTGTGTATATAGGTGGTGAGTTGAGTTCAGGGATAGTAGGATAGGGTAGGGTAGGATAGGGATGGGAAGGGGAGGGGAGGGGAGGAGGATATATCCTCCTGTCTTCTCCCTCGTTGCCTGGCAGGCTGGAACAACAACATTCCAGGGGATACTTAATCTAAATTGACTCTGGTACGTATTGGAATGGTGTAGGGTTGATGGAATGCGGGTGCCGACTCCCGTTTGTTCCGTTCAGCTGTCTACAGTCTACACTACAATTCTTGCTGCAGACTGGTTGATAAGTATCCGAATACTTAGATACTGTGCACTCGTGCAGCTGCTTCTCGCATGGCTATACCCAACACACTCACTGCAGGAGCAAAGTACGCAAGGGATATGAGTCATGATTCAGAGAAACCGTGCATTAGTAGATAAACACCAGGACCAGCCTCAAATAAAAGGATGATAGTAATACACCAGAAACAAGTAAGAAGAAGAAAAAGAAAACAGGAAAAGCTACTATGCCAATGGCCGCATATATTCATGCGCTGCTCTCTGCACTACATGAACAGCACAAAGTGGGAGTGAGTGACGAATGGTCAGGAAAACAAAAAGCCAGGGCTGGCAAACCTAAAAATCCTCTCAGCGAACACAAGCCGATGTCAGAATTGGTGTTTTTAATACCAAGTCGTTGTCAACTCAAGTCGTTCAATTCGAGATACTGGTGGAAAAGAAAGAAAAGAAAAACAAATCAAACACACATGCAGTAGGGTCTCACGGAGCCTTAGCTCGGACGTCGCCCGTTTCTATCAATCGCTTCGCCATCGCTTTCGAAATCAGAGCGCGCTCGCTTGTCAATCATAACGCCGGGAGAACACGTCAAGCTTGTCTTCGGCGACGTGCCTCCCCAGATTGCCCACAGACTCCACCGTAAAACGTAATTCGTGAACTCATCCCCAGGCCAGATGAGGGAAGTAGCCATTACAGCCACCCCTTCCTCACCCGGGTGCGCCTTCAGAAGGACAGGTCGGCCGAGTTCACGCCGGACGCGCGTCTGGCAGATTCGGAGCTATCGTGAGCCGCTCCAGTCGTGCCGGCAGCTTGACGGGCAAGCATACCGCTGGTCGAGTTGCCGCTGTTGCCGCTGGTTTGGCTGCTGCGGCTGCTTCGGCTGGACCCCTTTCCGTCATCGAGGTCGGCAAAATCCGCCATGCGGCGTTGGGTGTATTCGAGCATGACTCGGCTGTAGTCCTCGACGGACGAGTTGGGGTCGGCAGCGCGACCTGTCTCAAGGTGGTCGCCGGGAGGGCGACAGCCCTCACCTCCAGTAGGGGGCATCGAGTGGTATCCGTCGTCATGCATAGCAGTGGCCATCTTGTTGTCTAGATAGGAGGTCAGTCATGTCCAACCGCCGTAAACAGCTACAATGCAAAGCTGGTTCAGAGAACATCATCCATCGTTGATACGGAAGAACCATCATAGTCAGATGATCTGTCGACATCACGTATAAGGGTGAGACCAGTGCATAAGGAATATCCCTTCCATGCCTATACGGCAACAGACTGCGCATGCTTACCTCAAGATCAGTGGGACAGAACAGTAAGGAAAAGTAAGATCAGTAGTTATTGAAGGTCAAAGACAATAATAGTTTCAGGAATAACCACGGAAGCAGTGTGGGATCCCCAAAAGAAGACTAGCACGAGGTTTCAGGTGGACAGATTTGGTACGCAACAGCTTTGGGCAGCAACAACAATCGGGAAACTCTTTACATCGGACCAACATATAAGATGGGACTACCCGCAAGATAAATGCTCTGACCAGACCGACATGAGATCACAAAACGGACCATGACAGAACCGCTGGACGACCTGTCGACCCTAGGGAGTAGGCTCGACTTGTCCATGGCCCGAGAGCAGAGGAGTCCACCGTGTTGTTGTGCCTCCAAGACCCTCATAGGACAGCCATGACATCATTTGCCGTCGCAGGGCTCCTCTCAGTGGCATCCTTCATGCAGAAGAGGGTCGATGGGGGCCTGCACCGGCGTTCTTACCTTCAGTTTCTTCCCCCCTCCACTCCATCGGTGCGGCGGCGGCGGCGGCGACTGGGGCCCGGACCAGAACTCCTCCCTCAGGGAGGGAAGGATTATCGGAAATAACCGTACTCCACTGGCTCTCTTCGGCCGGTGTTACCCCCGGATGGTCCACGGTCCCATCATTTAGAGGAGCAGCATGAGGTCACCGATGGAATGCGACTGGTGCATTGGAGAATTTATGGCGTCGAAAGATCGACAGTCTGCGCTTACTGAAGTGCACGTCCCTGCAGATCGGCACTTGTACTGGCTGAGGCCTGGATGAGTCCGGAGGCCGCCTAAGAATCCAACATGAGGTATGATGGTTGACAGCGAGCCAGCCATCATGGTGGGGAAAGGGAGTTTGTCCCAAGAGCTAGTTGCATGCACAATATGTGAGAGAGAGACGGAGGGAGACTATGGGGACGCGATGTGTCATGGATGAACCTAAAAGTGAAAGGACGCTAGTTGACTAGGAGTATGCAAGAGGAGGGTTAGCGTGGAGGATGGCTACTGATCATCTCCGGTGCCAGTAACTGTGAAAGAGAGGATGAGGATGTCTCATCTTCACAGCTGTAAACTACTCCATTCTCAGCCAGAGGAATTCATCCAGTTGCTGTGGCGGGCTCAAGACCCATTCTCCCTGGAGGGAACCGACAACCGATAAGATTAAACTAATCACAACCCTGCAGAAGTAGAGCAGTGCCGAACAGGGGGCCCAGTTGGGACTGGGGACGCAGTTTGGAACGGGGAGACAGAGAGTCTGGGAAAGTGATGGAGACGATGAATTCATCCTTGCAAATGCAGGCCGATGATTGGCTGATTAGAGGAGTTCGGATCAAGCTAGCGCCATGGCTGCATCGGGAATGGCGCGGTGCCTGGGGTGCGCATGACGTCAGGCATAAGGCCGCCACCGAGTCATATCTGCTCGTTGGCTCCATCTTCATATTCACCTCCTACCACACACAATATCCATTTACGAGGTATGATGGAGTCCTCCAGACACTCATTTCTCCAGCCATGCAGTCTGGTCCTCTTCCTCTGACTCGGGAGCTTGGTGTATCCTCCGGCATCGCCAACCTTCCTTGGAAACCATCCCCTTCTTTACAACAAAGCGTAAGCGATTCGATATCTAACTCGCATTGATTCCCAGCAAAACGTCGCATAACCTAGTCATATCATAGAGTTAATAATCCGGTATCGGGCCACTGCACACGGCAGGCAATGCATACTGCAGAATCCGGGACGCCTTCCGGATTGGATCCGATCTGTTCGGTGCCCCATGCAGCTCATGCGCTAACGATCGTTGCTAGGACACGCAGTCAGGGACACACACACCCAGCCTCCCCTTTCTGCTGTTCTCCGGCTGTTTGTTGATATCCCACAGCGACCCACATGTAAAATCTTCATCAGCAGAAGGTTCGGTTGGTGGCCCCCAGGTGGATCAAAACGCAACCAAACTGCTCGCGTAAGAAGTTGGCAGCCCTGAAGGGCACTTCCTAGACTAGCGCATTTGATCTCCTCGGGACGCTGCACTGTGGGCAGCTAGTAGCCCGGCTCAAAGGGGCCACGGACAGAAAGTACTACTACTGTGCCTGTGTGTCTAATCCAGGCAACGATCCCCGGCAAGGAAGTTAGCTGCTGCTGCACTCCGACGCAAAATGCGAAAGCGGAAAGTAAAACACGCTGTATGCGGACTGCACAACCAACGACCATCAGCGATAATCATAATCAAATAAAACTTGGAACGCTTTCTGGGCCTAGATCACAGGAGCGAGCGGTGGATTATCACTCAATGTGACATCCGTTCCCGTGGGCCCATCGCGGAACAATGTTCCTGGAAGCAAATGATGAATTCCTTTCTCGGTTCTCACGGCGCGGTTGTTATCTCCTTTGTCTCGGATTTGGATAAATGAATACGCCCATGATATTGGATGCCACGTCTCCCCACCCCCACGTCAACGAAAGAAAAAGCGCAGGCGTAACTGGCCCCATGGATTCGGAAATATGAGACGGGGAGATTAGAATCACTGCGACTGGCGAGGAACAATCGTCTCTGACCGCTCCCATGATATCACATTGTCTTCGGACTTCCCTTGACATGCTTTTTCGCGCTCTTGAGCGAGCGGGAAATATCCCCATGGACTAGACCCCAACAGACAGAATATTGAGAACCTGAACCTGAACACACTGCTTAACGGTTGACTAGGCATATGCGCCTCCTCGGTTATGGGACGCTTCTTCACGTCATACCGCCAGGGATCGTGGAACCCATGATGTTGTCTGCACCACTGGAAACGTCCAGTCCTGCTTCCGAGTCAGATTATGACGATACGGCCACCAGACTCCCTCGCATTGATCAAGTCCTCGCCTCTAGTGACGCCACGTAGGTCCATCTCGCAGGTCAGACCGCGCTCGTTTGAACATGGTGTCCTCCTAAGCACCGTCTCCATGACATGACATTTCTGAGACAGTTGGCCGATCATGCTAGGGGGGAGAAGGCTAGGCCTGCTTCTCCGCTCTGACGATGTCATATGTTCGCGGCCCGTTAGGCCGAATCAGCTCGAATACGTACCTCCATCACACCCTATCGACATTCCCCGGAACGCCCATATCTCGGAAGAGAAAGAGACAATCCACGTTGCCGTAGTGAGCCATCCAACGTCATGCTTAACCCAGTTATCAGTCCACAATCCTTAACCCCAAATAAGAAATTCACGTTGATACCAAGATGTTTGTTCCGATTGACCAGCTCCATTATCAGGAGTAAAAAAAAAAAAGCTCTAGATCCCTACAACAGCGGGTAGATACAAACAGACGCCACAATCAAAGGACAGAAGTAATATTTTTCATCATGCTCGCACATCATCACACGTAACCTGTAGTCATTAATCAGCTCCAACGGCCCCATTACCAAACGGGGAATAACACATAGCCCACGAAAAACACTCGGAACTCAATTGTAAAAGGAAATCGACACTTACCTTTCCTAGCACCCTGGAAGAAGAACCTCACAACGAACACCTGCAGTGCGGCCATGGAAACCATCATCAAGCCCTCAATCACGCTAAAGTTGAAAATCCGACGCTCCGTACTACGAACGGTGCTGAAGTTGCGGTTCTCTCTCGTGCGGAAGTACTTCTGGTTGCGGGTGATGGTGGACAGCTGAGCGGACAGCTTGAAGATCGACTCCTCGAGAGCGGAGGCCTGCTCGGGGCTAGCACCCTGGCGGGAGGGCAGTTGTGCGCGTTCCTCGTTCTCGACCTGTAGACACGCACACACGTGCGTAATCAGTCTCAATCCCCTTTTACACTACTTTGTGATATACCCCAGACGGTAACTGGGTCGCCGGTATGATAATAGGTAACCAAAACAAACAAAACATACCGCGATCTCGAAATCGACAATCTTCTCCGCAAAGGTCGACATGTCATTGTTGAAGCAGAACCGGTACTCGCCAATGCTCTGGGCCGTGAACACAAAATCACCCTGTCTTTCCTTGGTACCATCCAGGACCACCTTCTCGCCGGGTCCGACAACGGAGTAATCGATATCGAAGGAACCGCCGGATTGGACCTATTTGAAACCCCGCGTTAATGGAAATTTCTCACATTGAGAAAGAGAGAATAGTAGGAGCACTCACAGCAAAGTAGAAAGCGAGCTTCACGTTCCTCTGGTCGACATAGTTGTAGAAACACGCTTTCTCGTTGGCTTCGAGGCGGTAGGTCAGGGCCGTAGCAGCCACAGACGAAACAAAGGTGGCCAAGAGGCCGATAACCAGGGCTGCGAAGCGCATTGCGAGCAGGGGTGCGGAACAAGAGGAGCTGCGACCTCAAGTTTAGGACTACGCTTCAGGGGGAAAAGGTGAATAGATTCAAAGACAACGCAACTAGACTAATTGATGGAGTTGGAAGTTCTGGCCAGCTGTGACTTTGGCCCGCTCCGTTTGTTGTGTTTGCACTAATAGGCTGTCTTCCCGTTTGTCCTCGACCCAATTGGGATGGACCCGCTTCCTGTTGTATTTATCAACTAATGGCTTGTTCTACTGCCAATTTCTACTTTGGCACAGGAAGCAAGTAAATGCAAGATACGTCGGGCGTCTGTCAGAATGGCTATATTACTCTCACAGCGGCCACTGTTTTCACTGACCAACTTGCACTTATACGGTTCATTCATAAAGCTCGCATCGTTCCAAGTTAGCTCATACATCAATTCCAGCTACTAAAAGCATATCATATCGGAACCATTAGGCCTGCCCTTCTAAGCTACCAGACAAGCCAAAACCACAACACATCGAAATAATCGCATCTGTTCATCATGTATGAAGTATGTTGTTTTTAGAAGTTCTTTCTTCATAAGCTGATTCGCCTGGGCAACACATGTCCTCCGTATGTTCATAATGGTATGCGTTCCCTGCCATCGTAAGATAGACTCCCAGCAAAAAAGACGTGCATAGCCATAACCATCAAGCAAAACTCCCATCTATCGGATGAAGAACGATTCGCTCCGGTTCCAAAAATTGCGGTTCTTATTTACATGCTCGAGACCAAGCAGGTCGTCCGAATCACCGATGATGTCGGAGAGAATATCATCTGAACAGC